CTTCTTCTTCTTGCTGTAGTGACGCTACTTGATGCCTTTTAACCTCATGGAATGAACAAATATAGGATGGTGGGGGGAAGGTCAGAACGACGATTTACCCAAATCTAACCTACAACCATGGCCGATTTCCGCAAAAAATTAACAGGTATACCTGTATCATTTTAGATATTTTTTGTGAACCCCTGAACCTAAACCCATAAAATTTTAGAATTGTGAAGTTCGGTCTACGATTGTAGACACATATTATCACCTAGTATTATAGTCTCTATAATATATCATATTAAGATAACTAGTTTAGGGTCAAATTAATACATTGAAATAAAATAATAGTTCACATACATAATAATAGTTTTACTATACGAAAATCGGAAAATGAGACTAGCGCCTACGGGCGAGACAGTTTTCGGCCAAAATGAACCTTTCCCTTTTCGGCCAGCACCCTATTTTGGTCACCAATGAAATATATTTTTCACGTTTTATTTTTGTTAAACTCCCAAAACAATACTTTTTTTAATAAACTTTATAAAATAATAATATATATAAAAAAAATTAATATATTAATTATATATACATTRAGATCCAATTATTTTGCATGTCTAAGTAATTTATTGATATATACGGCAGCAGACACAATGATACATATATGTACACGGATAGAAAATTAGAAACACGCTGAAATATAATTGAACAATGATATCGATCGACCAGATATCGTCAAGAATAAGATACCTATAATAGTATAATACAATATAATAAAGATAAAAGTAATAATAATAATAATAATAATAATGGCATCTAAAATTATTGTATATTATACGAGTATGAGTCAACAATTGTCAATTATTAATTTATAATATATTGAATTAAGTTAAAAAGTATACAAAATAAAAGTTATATTATATTATTCATTTACACAACAAGTATATATACTAATTTTATAAAATTATGTGGATTTTTAATTTTTTTATAGTTATACCTAACCATAGACCTGATATGGATCAGTATAAGGTCTATGGTTATAACACATACGTTCAATAAATTCTATTCGTGTTATTTCTCCTCTCTCATAAAATAATATTTCATTGGTGACCAAAATAGTGTGCTGGACGAAAACAGTCATTTCAGAATGGCCGAAAAGGGAAAGGTTTATTTTGGCCGAAAAAGGTGCCACCCAGCGCCTACAACGCGTAGTGCCATTTTCAGATGTTTCTATATAATACGCATGAATACATTGAATATTTATATTTTTGTATATTATGTTAATATATGCCCACGATAATTGATCATCTCTTCAATATTTTCAGTCAAACTATAAAACCAAAATCAACACTTAGTTGATTAATAATTAGTTTTAAAAAAAAAGGAAGTCATTCTGACTGCAGATTAGTGCAGATAAATAGGTAGGTAGGTAATACTATATCATCATTGGTAGAATAGAATAAGAAATACAATTTTTGAGTTTATTCTCTTACATTTTTTCTTCACTGATAAAAAAAAAACAGTAATCAAGCATTTTCGTTTACATAAAGAAATATACTATTATATAATAGAGTTGTGGATCTTAACACGGAACTTGGGGTATTTAAGGAGATTAAAGCTATTTTGAGATAAACAAATTACACAATCAAATTAAGCACCAATCACTAATCAAATGAGTAGTCAAATATTAAATGATTAATTTTTTTTTTTAATCTATTGTGAACACATTTGGAGTTTTGATTCTTGTCTACATTTACTAATAATATTTATATTTTCACCAACATAGCAACATCATATAGAAACAACATTTAAATAGCATATTCTGTTGTTTTTAACAATACATTATATTATAACAAAAGTTATATTTAACTTAATACTTTACTGATTTATAAAATTCAAAATTCAAGTTTAAGGACAATTCTTCATATTAAAATACTGAAAAAAGCAGGAATGATTTTTTTTAAATTTAATATTTCCATAAAGGTTGCGATGTGAAAGATAATCACTTAACACATAAACTTAAAACTATATTTTTAAATCAGTTTATAATTTGCATTATTACTCTGTGTTGCACAGAAAACTGATCATTGAACATTACAATGAAAACCAAACAAATTGTATTATTTATATATATAGTGTACCTACCTAATGTAGAAAGTGATTTAAATACTATTTATCTAGTTAAAATTTATTTTATAAATAGGTAATTTAAAAATATAATAAAATAGAAATACAATTATAGGCGTAAATTTGGCTTGCTAGAAGGGGGGGCTACGATTATAAATTATAAGTTTCATCCATAGAACGTTAGAACAAGCCCGGGTTATGTCCTCCTCCTCCCCCCACACCATCTACATCTAAATTTTACAATTTCAAAACATGTATATAAATACTTTAAAATTATTTATTTAATAAAATCATACATAATTTAATTCAACATGATATATTCATGTTCCTCTGCGAATTGTTAAAGAATTATATCTTTATTAATATTTTTGGTATCGCTTTTCTCTATATACAAGATAGACACCTGAGTAAATCTATCTTGTAACATTGACGTTCGTAACCATGTTTTTATCCGGCGCATGGCAGAGAAGCTTCTCTCACACGTGGAGGAACTAATTGGCAATGTTATAGCTACCTTATACAAATTAAACAAATTGGGGTAAACATTTTCCTGTAAAATAAGTTTTAAGCTATCTTCTCTTAATTCTTTTGAAGCACCATATGTTTGGATAATACAGTTTTTAGCGACGACCATTTCAGCTTTCAAAGAATCAATAGAAATATTTAACAAATCCTAAAGAAATATAAAATTAAGTATTAGTCAATATAKGTATACACTATACAGTAGGTATGTTACTCATAAAATATTATCACTATATTTACTTTATAATGATCAATGAAGTAAGTACTTAATTCAAAATCTAGTTTGAAAAAGTTTTCTATAGATGTTGCCATTTCTAAACTTTCTGACGTGAATCGTTTATTCATATTCTCAATTATACAATCCAATACAGGAAAATAAGCATGACATCTGAAATAATCTTCTTTACTTTCCTCTAATTCCTCATGGGTCATGGGTGTTGTATTGATCACTTGTAGTTGTATTTAAAATGAAACTCGATAGACTTTTAGGCTGTAACCTTTTTCTTTTATTATCTATTTTACAATGTATAATGAAAACAACAAACATTATTYAATGTATATTTATTGTACTAAATACTAATATTATTCATTATTATATTATACATACTTTGCAATGGTTTTTCAATTGTCAAATTATGGTCTTCACAAAATTGTAATATTATTTTCCACATTTGTGAAAACGCAACTGGATTTCTTAAGTCTTCAAATGATTTTATAACACTTTTTATTACATTTGCCGCATTTCCTAGTGTAGCTGTCYTTGACTGAAGTTGATTTGATAATATATTAATCATAGTAAGCACCTTTTGAAGAATAAATAAATGAACTACAAATATTCCTTTWTGCATATTGGTGAGAATTCCTAAAAATTAAAATAATGGCTTGTAAACATAATATAAAATAAGTAGTTAATTTAATTATAAGAAATAAAAATGTATAACTTAATTGATACCTATTGCTTCGTTAACATCTCTATCATTATTGTTTTCAATTTCTTCTTTTAATAATGTTATAATAGAAGCATAACATTTTAGTACAGCCTCACAATTTTTATATCGACAGTTCCATCTTGTGTCACTAAGTCGTGTTAAAGTTTTTTTTTTAATACCTAAATTATTTTGAATCTCCATGAGATTTTTATTTCTTGCTGGTTGAGAAAAGTRAACATATAATGACTCTAATGTATGGAAAACATTTCTTGATTCCTTTAAAGCAAAAATATAATAAATATACCAACATATATAACTAATAATACACAATATATTACTCTTAAAATTATACTATATTTTCARTTTTCACATACCTTTACAGTTTTACACATATCAAGCWCTACAAGGWTGACTCTATGAGCCATACAATGTGTATAGATGGCATATGGAAATTTACATTTTATTAAAGCTTGTACACCATTAAATCTCCCCGACATAACATTCGCTCCATCRTAAGACTGGGCTACCAGTTTAGCATTGGGGTTTAATACACATTCCTTCAAGTATTTGAGTATATATTCACAAAGAGATTGAGCATTTTGGCTTTCAGAGCAGTTAATGAAAMCAATGAATTTTTCAACAATGTCTAGCCCTTTACAATAGCGTATACATAGGGCCATTTGCTCTTCTTTATAGCATCTGCAATACAAATATGTTGATATTATCARATAATGATTTTTAAGCTAAATAGCTGATATAATTGATTTTAGCACTATAATAGTTCAATAAGCAAGGCTGGGCATTAACGAGTTAAAAGTTAAAATTAAGTTAATTTTAATTAAGTTAATTAACTCGTTACTTTTTTTACAAATTAACTTTTAACTTAATAAAATAATAAGTKACTTTTATTTTAAGATTAACGAGTTAACTTTAAGTTAATTTTATTTAAAAGTATCTAAATTAAGTTAATTTTAGTGTAAAGAATAATGCAAATTATTAATGAGGTTTATTTTGGAAAAGTATGTTTTTTGATAGCTAGTTAATACTTTTATGTATCATTTTAAAAAATTTCTCCAGTAATTTTCTTGAGCGTAGAAAAACTAATATTATGTGTGCAATTTTTTATTTTTGCAATTAGAATTAATTATTTTAAAATAACTTAACGAGTTAAAAAAAATCGTTAACTTGCYCAGCCTTGTCAATAAGAATATACTTTGAGTAAATTAAAGGTAAAAAAATGTATTTTAATGTTTAATTAAAAAATATATATTACCTAGCTTAATCACACATTAAACCAAATACACCATCTCCTACTTCTGATATGATCTGGTCTCTTACATTTTTTGCACACATTTCAATAATGCTATTTTGAACTAAAGGGCTAATGTAATTTGTAGTTTGCAGAAATTTTACAGAAAACTCTGGTACATATTTGGACATTAATTAACATGCTTCCTTGAAATTCCCTATAAAAAGTTAAGCATTCATAAATTATTTATTAAATTATTAATTATATAGTATCTAAGTTAGGTATATTATAATTTATAATAATAATTGTATACCTACATTAAAAAATATATATCTACCTTTATTAAGTGAATCAGTTGACTCGTCATGGCCTCTAAATGGTAGCCCTTGGCAACTTAAATATAATGTGATATCAATTAATGTTTTTATATAACTTTTATTAGCTTCAACCTCTAATTTATGTTGTGTTGATAATTGTGTATGCACACTACCAATGGTTTCAGTATTCTTATGTCCTAACCATTTAGCAACACAAGTAAGATGACTTTTTGTACCAGAATGAGCTTTAAGCTTGGTCTGTTTTTGTCCTGTGACACCTCTAGACCCACTCAACTACAATAATTAAAAACAAAGTTAGCACTGACATAACTACTAATATAATAAGTAGTTAATATTTGATAATCATCAAAATAAATAAATCAAATTATATGTTAAAAGCTTTAAAAATAAAATTACTTTTTTCCAATTTCTAAAGCCAGTTTTTGAAAATACTCCTTCATTATCGACATTATCGTTGGCACCAAAGTTACGACACGGAAAGCAATATAAAGCATCATTTTGTATGCTGTATTCTAACCAATCATGTTTGATAAAATATGAARCATTAAAACTGCGTTTTTGATTTCCAAATTTGGTCATAGGGTAAGACTGAAAAAGCATTTAAAAATATTTGATTAGTTTCTATTAAGCATTAATAATAAGTACCTAATCAAAATTACACTATGTAATGTTATATAATTATTATAATTACCTTTAGAACTGGTCTTATTGGGCCAGTTTGCGAATCGCCAAGATCAATAATTTTTTCATTTATTTAGTAAGTTAATACTAGTAGATTCATTGTCGGTTGCATTATCGGAATCATTATTATACGAAATACTTTTTAATTTAGGTTTGTTTAAACCAGTTAAGTTGTCTGGTTTAGGTTTTTTTAAATTGAAAATATCAAACACACGTTCACGTTGTTTACTCATGGTCATAAACTCAAAACCTCGATACAATTAATAGTTAATTAATTAAACTTTTACCACAGAAAAAAACATCGACTAACGACTGCTCATCTATAACTGATTAGTCTTAGTGGTGTTCACCGTTTACCTTCGTAGCATCAGTTACCGTAATCGTAACAGCTTATTATTTGTATTGGGKTTTTACAAACATATTATTATAAAATATAGTGATTTCACTGATTGGTGATATTAATAGACGCTAAGGCATAATAATTCAAGATACTCCGAACTTCGCGTAAACATATTATTACATAACCTGTTATCGTTGTCGTTATAAAATAATAAATATTAGCTCAATCTTTTCTAATTTTATTTAAATACAAATCTATAACATGAGCATTCATAATATAATCATATACCTATCGGCTTCTTGTCTAGGAATTATGACATGACGTAATAAATAAATAAAATTATTTTTTCTAACAAAAAAATTAAAATTGAAAGAGGACTTAAAAAAATTAGAAGGGCTATATATTTTTTTAGGGGGGCTAAGCATATCGCCAGTCACAAAGATATTTTCATGATCAAATTGGAAAAAAGTCAGTTTTTGACTCTTTTTCTTCTTTAAGTACTTAGAGCCTACTTAAAAAAATACTCAGCCTTAGGTTTGACTATAGCTCTATAAGCCATACCTGTGAGCATGCATATGTGGCTGATAAAAGTTGGTATTTGTGGATTTGTTAAATGTTTTACTTACCAAAATACCAATAATAATTCTATGTTGTTTGAAAACTAAAAGTTTTTCAATCAAACTTTCTATTGGCATTTGTAGTTGGTACAATTGTATAACTGTTTGAAACAGTAATCTTTAAATTTGTGTCTGTTGTACTTGTAGCAAAACAATGTGCTCTTTGACTTTGAGTACTAATTGCTGGAAGAATTATGTGATATCAGATACAGTARCGACATAATGTAATAATTATAATACAGAATTACAAATTTCTGACAACACTCTGTTTGTGATGAATATTTGATTCTAATAAAAAACCAGTTAATTTGAAAATACAATATCTTATAATATATATAATGTATATAATTAATAAACATTTAGAGAATATTTTTCATGTTGGTATAAAACTATGTAATATCATGGAATTTAGCCTTCCAAACAATAATTAACTTTTGAAAGTCTGTTTTTTAAATAAAACACAAATACACAACAAACACAATAACATTCCATAGTTAAAAAAAAAAAATAGCTATTACATCAATAAAACGATATTATGATTACTAATTACACGGTAATAATTTATCCTTTACCCCATGTCAAAATCTTTTTATTTCATTTTTTTTTTTTTTAAAGTTATGCATTACTAAAATTTAAATTCAAATTTTTAATTATTTTTTTAATGAATGAAAAAAAAAGTTGAAATAAGTGTTTAATTATTTTTAAAATTAAAAATTGCAGACAACAAGTTTGTAAACAATGATTATTTTTTTTTAAATACAAAATTGTATAATATTACAGATCTTCGACTTAAATAATTATAAAATAATAGTAATTAAATTCTTTAATTTCTTAAATTTATTTATGCTTATATATTATATTGTTATATTTTATATTCATATATATCATATACGTATTRCCTGTATTAAAATAATTATTACTGAAAAATATTATTGCTAAAAGTATTAGTTTATATAGTTCATATTATGTTTACAGTGTTGGTATACCATATTAATACTCAAATCCCTAGAATATAATATAATAAAAATAAATAATACATAATAGTATACAGTAATTATTACTATATAAAAAGAAATGTTTCGTTCAATTATAAAATCATGCAATTAGYTTATATTTTATATCACAGAAATTTTAATAGATAAAAAAAATGTATACTAATAAGGGTGGTGAAATGGAGTAGGTATGTTGTTCTGTATCATTACACAATGTATGATGTACCTACTTATTTTGTATTCAAAAGGCATGGTCCGTTAATTATTAATAAATAAAAATAAAAATATTATATGTCATTTGTATTTGTATACATTCAAAATAATTCATTAATGTAAAATGTATATAGGTTTTTAATTACACATTACATCTATTACAGTTAGTGAAGTTTGTATACAAAAGTGATGCGGACATTAAATTATTAATATTAACATTTTTCCGTCACATTAAGCTTAAAAAATATAGTTGCTTAGCATTATATGATAAAAAAAAATAGTACTTTTTGAAAAACATTAGATATATCATTATTAAAAATAAAACTAATCYACAAAATTTGTAGACATTTAATGTTTTAAGGCACAACTGGTTGCTTGCTTTGTTGATTTTATGAACCATTTAAAATACCTAGTTTTATATGAATTATTAATTAATTTACTTCTTCAACCGATTTAACTTGTTTTACTGTGTCAGGTAGTTTTTGATCTTTTGTTTCCGGAAACAAGAAAGACATTGCTCCGGCCATTGTTGATATGATTCCGAACAATAAGATTGGAATGTATTGTCCAAAATAGGCACCCTGTGAGACAATAATTAAAATATAATTTTATGTTTATGACGTTATACAGTAATAATAATTGTTTATTTGATTATGTGCATTTTTCAATTCAATAAATTTAGCTATCAAAAAAAGTTCAAGTACACACCAACAACGTCATCTGAGGAGCGAATAAGAGACCCAATCGACCAAACATGGAAACTATGCCGATCAGAGACATACGCATTTCGGTGGGGAACATTTCTGCGGTAAATATGTACATATTGTTAAATGCCATGGTGATTGCATATTTACTACTCAAGAACAACAATAATTGCATCCATAAATAATCTGCAAATCAATTACATAGGTCGTATTTATTTTATTCCACTTAAACATAACAATAAATTTACTAATTCACTTTATTTTATTTTTTTTTAATGTTGAATAATAAACTCAAACATTGGCCATTTTTATCGGAGTACCTACAACATCGGAATAACTCTAAAAAGCTTAGTTTAACTCTATTTTAGTTTAAAACTTTAAAAAAGTGCTAAAAATATAATAACCATATGGTAAACGTAAATTAATAAAATTATTCAATTTTACAATTGTACAAAATACATAATATTTTGATGTATATTTTTAGAACACAATTTTTTTAGTTAATCAAATTTCAATTTTCCATTAGGTATGTATACCAATAAGCGCAGTTATAAAATTTGAAAAATATATTTGTTTAACTAATTTTTAATAACTAACACTGAAATTCAATATTATTATTGGATAGATTTCATACTGCAAAAAAAACGAGTTTGGTTGATCACGTACTGCGTACGACATCACCAACAAAATACGATATTTAATGAATAATGATAATTTTAATGATTTTGCTGTAAGTATAATTTCTATGTAATAGGTAGACGTTCTAAATATGCAGACAAATTTTCAAACATTGGAAAATTACTGTTCAATAAGATAAGAAGATAATACAGATATAACCCTATATATAAATGACGAATGACATCAATGAATTGATCATTTATCAGCATTAAGATTGTACAGTTACTTTTGAGACGGCTGTCGAAAAATATGTTTAATCAGCTTTTAAACCCTATAAAACCTAGCACAATAAATAAATATATAAATAAATTATAACAATAATTTATAAATATTTTATAAAAAAGTATTTAACAATTTTTAAAATAACGATTGTTCTTTTGCAAAACACAAATATTTTTAACCTCACCTATCAATTTTTTGGTAGCTTGTCCTAAATTCTGAAAATGTGATGAAGTKAAATATTAGTGTCCGCAACTCATGTAATTTTTATTTAAAAAAACTCTTGAGGTAACTAATATTACCCTATTATCCTAACGAAACTCGTGTCCACAATTGTTATATTACAATATTGACCTGAATAATTTCGTCCATAATTAGTAAATGTCCAACATGACACCGAAGGAAAGAGCGGAAAACGGTAATGATATTGTGATGGCAAGGCTGATGGGCAATAATTCCGGGTCACGAAGAATAGGTGATAAGGCCGACGGTCAGAAATGTCGGGCCTGYAGGAATCCCAACTAATTGGAAAACGTCAAGGAGAATGAAAATGTAGACCACCGCACTTGCGAAACTTCACGAGAAGTTAGAGGTGCCACCGACCACTTTTTTATTTCACACCTATGACACCACGGTAGGCAGAACCCCTATAAGAAGGGGGGGGGTCAGCAGTACCCGTGGTACTCAGGCCCGGACTTTCGAGTGACCCGGCGTTCATGCAAATAATTACTTCAATATATATTAGAAAAATGTTCGGGACTATATATATACTAATATAGTTTTATACCCGAGGCCAAAAATATGATGTGGGGAGCCTTACGGAAGGGGATGACGATCGTTGAAGTCCAGAACGAGACCCGAGGCCGGATGGCCAACACGCCGCGCTGAGAATATGGTGACGGCAACAAACCATCCGGATAACAATCTTAAACTTAAATATAATCTAGCTATTGTAAATAAGGGGTAAGTTGGGGGATTTTCCAGTCGACCCTTATAAGTTATAACGTATAATATTTGTTTGACAAATAAATGATAACGGCACCGCGGAAGTAATGCGCAAGCAGTCCCCACGGCGTCGTTGAACAACTGGAAAAAAAWATATTATATTATCATACCTACTTTTGTTTAGAACTTATATGCATCACGTTTTTTAAATATTATAGATAATATTTATATAAATGGTAAATTAAATTGAAAAGAGCTATTCAAAATTAAATGTTTATTTACCCGTAGATATTAAGTTCACCATAATACATCCTATGCCACTCAAGAAAAATGAAAATGCTTGAGTATATCGTCTTGAAAATTGTTCCATGAAGTACCACGATGTTAAAAATGCTGGTACCTCTACAACGTTTACAAGCATAAAGTTCAAGTATTTGTTCCCAGACAACTCCACTGAAGTTAACGAGAGTCCGTAATAAACTAATGTGATTGTCATCCTGTAGTCATACAAAAATGTTAAGATATTTATTCACATCAAAACGCAAAGGTTGAATGCATTAAATAATTTATAGTATAAATGCRTATATTTTATATGCAATTAGTATTTAGAAATTACTATACTAACCAAGAAAACGAACAAATGATTACTCGTAGCAAAATATCTTTTGAATTAAATATTTTTTTCAATAATTTACAAATAGAAATTTCTTCTTTTTTGAGCTAAAATGATTTGGGAAAAATATTACATTAATTAATTTATGTGATTATACAATTGAGTGTTGTAATATTTTAACGGAGTCTTAATCAATACCGAGTTCGTTGCATTGCTTAAATTGTTGGCAACTAGTGCTTCTTGAACGCAAGATGGTAATGTCTTGCCATTAGATTCAGCAATTTTGGTTAGAACCATGGCCATTTCTTCAATTCGGTTTTTGGTTTGAAGAAATCTCAAGGACTCTGGCACATACCTATATTACAATAATATTCAGACAAGTTTGTTTAAATGTTATTTATTATGTGTTTGTGTACAATTATAGTAATAATTAATAATTACCAAATATATCCTAATATAAATAATCCGGGTAAGTTGACTATTCTAAGCATTATTCGCCAATCAAGAATCATGTAAGCTATGAAACCCATTATAACTGCTCCCATGGGATAAAAACAGCCCATCAAAGTACTGACAGCAGCTCTTGATTTTAAACTAACTAGTTCTATACCTGAAATATACATTTTGTCATCATAGTAATGATTTTAGTTAAAACGCTGGTTTTTTTTTAGAAATCATTGTGRCACCAAATCCAAATAAAACTTATTTTCAAATTTAATAAACTTGAACTAAATCAATCTTGCAACTACTAAAATATGTAATATATATTTTACAACTTAAAGTTTTTGAAAGTTTGACATTAATCAAATTTAGTAATCAAATATATATATTTATCTTGTAAGATATTTGGTAATTACAGGTATTTGATTCCTTACCTAATACAAAGGTGGCTGCGTACACTCCACTGGATGCCATAGATTCAAAAAGTTCGAAAAATAGGAATGAATAGTAATTGGCAGAGAAGGATTTTAATGTACCRAGTGTGGCCGATGCAACTGAGCCTATAATTGAGACATACTTGCGTCCAGACCTTCATGTTTATAAAAATAAAAATAACTATGTAATTTAATAATATAGAACAGTAACTACCTATAGACTATAATAGGTACCTTTATTTTATGATACACTCACCTGTCTGAAATATATCCCGCTAAAGGAATGCCAATGACCTGACCAATGCTATTGACAGTTCCCACCATGTTGAGTTTCCATTTGTTTTCTTCACACATTATACCAAACTATGAGAATAAATTGGATAATTTCAAATGCGTATAATGTAAAACTAAAGAATTAAGAACCCTGTCTCACATCGTTCACTATTGTCCTTTCCGTTTCACCAAAAACCCATTTGTTGCACTTCTTTTTAGAATTGACGTTGAATGATTCTCGCTTACATGACGTGCTATTAGCAGATATATTTGTCATGTTAACAGTCCGTGATACATGGTGGTACATGAGACATTTGTAATGCTCATTAGACTTTTCGTTGAAAGGTATCGCCAGGTTTAACCAGTCCGGATTRTACGATGGGTTGTCGGCGTCGCATATAGGAATTTCGCACCTAAAACAATTATAGTTGCAATAGATAGGTAGTAACTATTTTCATTGATCTGTAAATACAAAAATTATATAAAAATAACTTATACATATTTTTAGTTGTGTTTCTTTTATAATCTTAATAACAAGGTACATTACTTATTATGAACAAATAATAGAAGATCTCTTTGCTAAAAGTCTAGAATGATAGTTATTGTTAAGCTTTAATCCAGAAATTAAACAACAATATTATTAGGTATTAGGTCCCTACTAGGTAGTTCAAATTTTAATTTTAATCAATGTTGGTAGGTATCTTAATTAAATTATTCTTCAGGATGGTGACTTTTGATCACGTGCCCACATTTTGCGATCAAAACTTTAAAAATAATTACCGTGCCAGTAGTAATATATTATGTTTATACATTTTTCTCAGAGTGATAGAGGTYTTAAAAAAGTTCTATGATATTATTTTAATAACAGTTGTCTATTTGGTTGCTTTAAATATCTCAATGAAACACAATYAGCATTAGCTTCTTTCAACAATGTATTATTTCTATGACTTGATTTGAAATAATTCATTGCAAACTTTCACATTTTATGTATTTTGATAGAAATAGTAAGTTTATTTAGGTTGAACAACTGTTTTTTCAAAATATACAATAWTATGTCTGGAAGCAATGAGCTACAAACTTCTATAATTTATAACTTTATTTTTTACAAATAAATAATAGTAATAATAATATCAATTAATAAAATAAAGAAAATTTAAATTTTTATTTTATTTTTTATTAATTAATTTTTATTTTTATTAATGAATAAAAGAAAAAAAGAAATTTTGATTTTGAATCTTGACAATGAAATGTATTATTGTGTATTATAGACTATTTCTAGTAATGAGTATGTATAAAATAGTTTAATGTTGTTTTAATTTGACTTAAAATTCCATAATATATTATTATCTAATGGAATTTATACCATTGTAAACCTAAAGTAACTATATATGATCATTAAACACCAAAAAATAATTATTAAATACAGGTTTTAGTAGAATTATTCACTAATTGAATTCTGCATTTAAAATTTTAGACATTTTAATTTAATTATGAAAAGTTTTTACTCTTGAATATATCAGATCATATTATTGATCTAGATTTTAATATTATCAATTTTCACAACATTAAAATATAATTTACATATCATACACTTGAATAAAATATGAGATTTATCAATTTATTTTTATATACATTATTAAAATATTGCAGTGAACTGCTTAAATTAAATTAAAAATTGTTTAAAAAATTAGGTAACTAACTTCCTCATCGATAAAACTTGTAACTATAAAAATACTAAACAAGTATTGATAAATCAAGTAGTGCTCAGTTAAATTACAATTTGCAAATGTATATGCATAAAAAAATATTATATGTATAATATTTAGTTAGTATAGGTAATACAAAATCAATCATAATTTATACAAAAATTATATACTAATATTATGTAGGTATATAATTTACCTTATATGCATATTAGTGATTATGTACAATAAATGTTTTAATTYAAAAGTTCTCAATTATAATTTGTCAATTTGATTAATATATTATGCAATTATATATAATTAGGCAAAAATTACTTCAAGTTTACCTGTATTTAAGATCACTTGCTGTAATGGCGTAACTAAGTGGCGATATATTTGAATACATRAGCACGAGCCCCATTAAAGTACATACAGTCACTTGGTATGAGCCCAAACCAAAGTTGCCTAGGATCTCATCTAAATCCATTGTTTATCTTGAGTTCAATTCTTGATATGTACTACACATATAAACAAATTACTTAAAAAACTAAGTCAAGATCATTAAAATCATACAATGTCTACATGATTCATGGTGCATGGTAATGTGAGTCCAATACATAGAGATAGAGTTATAATAATTAGTTCAATGTCTTAAAGTAATTCCTCTCTAAAATCATTCACTTTTCAAACATTCATATAGAAACATATAAAATGCAATTGTACCATGAAATAGAAAATCGAATCTACATATATTAGAATTGATAATATTATTGTACATTTTATGTGAGCACTGTGTATCATTTATTTAAAAATATTATTGGCTAATAACTTAATACCAACGGACTAAAAAATAAATTGCTTCATATTTTTTTTTTTATAATTACATTTGAAAAAAATCAAATAAGAGATATCAAAAAAAAAAAAAAAAAAAAAAAAAAATACAAAACTGGACTTTTAATTTAATGATATTTTTGAATTTTCACCTTATTACATGCCATTAATGCTGAGATAGAAATTACGATTTTAATTATTAATTATATTAATATCTTAAGATGGTGTTTTATACCATTTTATATAGTGCAATCCGCTTTAGTGGGTTAAAACATACATTTTCCCAATCTTATATTCAAAATAATCCAATTTACTCTGTTATTTTTGACATAACAATAAATTTAAATTTATGACTATTATCTAGGATTTTCTTCATAATAAAAGTGAGTTTTATAAGTTATATAAAATATTAAAATTTAAATGTTGATTTAAGTGGTGGTGTAACCAGGAGGCTAATGGGCTCCAGCCCCTCTCATAGGTCATGTTGTGATATACATTTAATATAATTAAAAATCCAAGAACAAACCATGATATTTCTAAAAACGGTTTTGAAGAAACATTTTGGGTATTAATCAATTATTTGTGGAAGTTATTATGGTTATTCATAAATTGTTATAGACTTTAGTAAATTATATTGTGTTTTTTTMTATATATACATTATACCTATTAAATCATTTTTAAATAAACAATCAATTAAAAAATCGAATATGTCGCATTAATATTAATTCAATGAACATGAACATAAATGTGTTCCTCTAAAAAATATTATCGTAGATAGTCGATTTCATGTTACATATTATATCGAATATTAGTGAGTTAAGTTTTTAAGTGAAGTTTTAAACACTGCTATTTTGTAGTATTAAAATCGGACCTTGATGGGTTAAATTAATGAATAATCTAAATATGATTGACAAAATTATGTCGCTATAAAATAAATAGTATTTTTTGTCTCTATTTGACTATCATGGTTATTATTATAGTAAGAAAAATACTTTAAAATGTATTTATTTAAAGTATGTGGGTACTATATAGGTAGTCTGGAACTAATCTTACAAAAAAATAAAACTATTTATTATTATTATTGAATTAATAAGGAAGTTGAAAAAAAATACTTTAAACGTTATTTCCCATCATTTTACTATTTTCAATTAATGAGTTTTCGCATCAAGCCGACATTACTTAATTTTAAATTAAATGATAAAAGAGAATACATCTAACCTCAAAAAATAAATTTGTTATGCAGAATCGTAAATGTAAATATTAAGAATGGCTTCATTCTTGAACGGCATCAACCAGAGCATAAGATCATTAACAATTAGTAGACACGAATACACGATTCGAAGGCCAATAAATTATGCTATTATCTATTTATCACGTAGTATAATGACTCAACAAAAACACAGAAAAARGGCACTGTAATCGCAAGGCGAAATATTAATAAACATACCTATAAATGAATTGGAAGATCCCGAATCCCGATATGAACACACTTGTAGACGAATGTCACAACCAGCAACAACTAAAACTAACAAGTAGGCAACTAGTCGTTGCGCGTAAAATGAAAAAGTACTGCGCAGTATCCACAGCCACCGCAGTATAGCCAACTTAATTCTCTTGCGTAGCTATAAATGATATTCAATATACCCCTAGCATTGACCTTATAATAACGGACAAGAAATGAGTATAATATGGAAAACGTGTCAATATAGAAGGTCCTTGTTTCTTACTGGTTTGCTGAATATGAGTGCCGAGTAGTATACTAATATATTATATACATATGTAGATATTTGTATGATGTCATCAAGACAGYCTACATAATTGCAAGATGTTAGCACGCCATTCAAAATGCTGTTTTTATACATAGTTCTGTACTATTAGTAAAAGGTCTATGGATTTATGCCAATATCACAAACCTCATAATAATATATGGACAACGCTTTCTGACTCCTTTGCACTTGTRAACTCTACAGTCTACAATTATTATCATATCAAAAACTGTTAGGTAAAATATCATGGAGAAAAAAGTTATATTATTTTACTCTCCATGGATCCGAGATTTTTTTTAATATTCTCAAATCTATTGCTTTTTTTACGAAATTTCTCATTAATGAAATTAATAATTATTAGTTTCTTTATTCATGACATTTTACTTAAATCGTCCATCTCAAAATATATTTTTCTGCCGAAGAGCAGTCTATTTATTATTGAGTTTATGCCATAGATAATAAAAACGCCGTTAATCGATAACAAATTGAGGCTGTTTGTTTGAATTTTTATGATATGGTTACATATATAATTATATATATATATTGCTAATTGATATTCTATATGGCGTCAGTTACAGCATGGATGTTAATACTATGGGTGTACAACGAATACGAATATGACGGCTCTGAGTGTCCTTATTTAGAATTTTAATAAAATCGTGTCTCACTAGTCTCTATATTATGTATATTAATTGATGTACAACATCAATGTTTAAAAATCCCTTGCTTTTTTAAGATTCCATGCAATAATAACTATCATATTTTAGAATAAATTAATGAATTATATTTATTTATTTGTTAATTATTGTGTAATTGTTATTATTAGTATAAAATTATGGTTTGAGAATTCAGCTATAATAATGGCTTTAGAGAGTTCTTGTATGTGATTTTTTGTCAGATATAATAAGAACATTCAGCACCGCTCAGCGCTGTGATCCAATATTGGCCGTTTTGCAACCATAGTATCTATATCCGTGAGTTACAGGCACAGAATTATATACTAACTAGACAAGTTACTCTTATATTATTTACATTGTCATCAGTGAAGCTCGCACGGAGACGACCGTCATTTTGTTGGTTGGCATACACAAAATATATAAGGAATAAATGGAATTATATATTTTTTTAAAGGTGAAATAAAATAATAATGACAAAATGATCTATGTGAAATAACTTTTTTTGTTACAAACAGAATGTCTAGAAGACTAGAAATATTAAAATACAATACAACATCAATTAATATTTACCATTAATACATAGGTTGCATCCAAAAACCGCACACTTTTGATTTTGACCCGAAAAAGGCCGATAGACATAAACCGCACACTTTTCGGTCCTTATATAACAAAATACCCCAAACTTAAAGTGATTAAAACCGCACACTATTTTTAGTGCTAACAACGGATTAGATTAGATAAGATTATAAGATATACTTCAATATTCATGCTAACACGTGTTAAGACTTAAGTCACCACTCATTATTATTATTTTATTAGCCGGTCTTGTCTCTTGTGAATAAAGTATACATACCTATAAAGTGCTTAACTATAGGCATTTAGTGGTTTTTTCAGTTTTTTCAGTTTTATTAAATTATTAAAATATTTTTAATTAGACATAATAATGGATTTTAAAATAATTGAGAATAATAAAGGGGGCAAGTGCTTAATACTCGACAATTTTAAATACAGACAATTTAGAGTGTGTAATAGTGGATATGTGGTTTGGCGGTGTTTTAATAAAAATTGTACGTCCACGGTTACAACATGCAGTCAAATGAAGAATCTACTAAAACTAAAAACACACATAAACATGAATAAGTGGCGACATTGAAAATTAAAATCCAAGAGGTACGTAATGAATGTAAACGATCGTTTGAAGTTTTTAAAAAATGTCTCTAATCTAAGACCTACAACCTTTTTGGGGTCGAAATTAAAAATGTACAGTTTTTGGATACAACAATTTTAAAAATAACCTATTAAATGTGTGTGGTTTTTTAGGTTAACCTACCAAATATGTGCGGTTTCGTTATGTAGTTTATTAAAAGTGTGCGGTTTTAGGAGTCAACAAATACATATAGTAAAACCTGTGTAAAATGGAATCCGAATAACGTGGAAACCTGACTTTTATAGAAAAATGTTACGGTCCCGGCGAACCTGTTGTACTTTTAAATATATCGTTCCCTGAATAAGATGGAACCTGTTCAACGGGAAATGGAAACAATATTTTGTCATGTATCTGCAGTATATTATGAAAATATATACATGTACTATTTTAAAATTACCAATCAAGGAATATCATCTATATTAATTATATGGATTATTTCGTTGCAATAAGTTTATTTTATTGATAAGTGTCGTAATAGTGTTCTGACGTAGACTGCATATAGACGTATATTCAATATGACGTCCAAAAATAAATGTATAACACTAAATGAAAAAATTAAACTTGAGTCTAGTGAAAAGGATGAATTAACAGTAAAAAAAATTTGTTAACTTGTCATATGTGGAAAAAGTGTATAATATATTAAAGCAAAAAAATGAAATAAAAGAACAATAGATGAATGGTATGTAATAAGCTTAACTATAAAAGTATAAAAATTCAAAATTCAAAATCCTATATATGTATGTATGATTTTTATTTTAGGAAATGGGCGAATGAAAAGAAAACCAAAATCCAACGCTAATGAAAAAATTAATAATTTGACTTGGAAGTGGTTTGTAAGTGCTAGAGCAAAAAATGTACCAATTTCTGGGCCAATTATACAGACTAAAGCACGCTGCACGCCAAATTGCTGAACAAATGTCAGTCACCGAATTTAAAGCATCAAATGGCTGGTTGGAAAGTTTTAAAAAACGAAATAATATTGTTTGACATCAAATTTGYGATGACT